GAGTAGACCTAGCATAATTCTTAAGGGTCCTAGGATTTTCAGAATGGTAAATCAGCATTGGCTTCAGCTTAAAATCACCAGTTGCATTAGCTGGTGAAGCTTTGAAGCCAGACATTGACTTCTTTCTAGATACGAAAGTCCTAAATGGCATCACTTACAATAGCAGGCTGTGTTATCTACATTGAAATTCTGGTGTTTAATGCAGCCACCTTCATCAGTGACCTTAGCTAGATCTTCTGGATAACTTGCTGCAGCTCCTACATCAGTACTTGCTTCGCCTTCCACTTTAATGTTATGGAATTGGCTTCTTTCCTTAAAACCTCATGAATCAACCTCTGCTAGCTTCAAACTTTTCTTCTGCAGGTTCCTCACCTCTCTAAGCCTCCAGGGAATTGAAGAGAGTTAGGGCCCTGCTCTGGAATAGGCTTTGGCCTATGGGAATGCTGTGGCTGGTCTGATCTTCTATTCAGAGCACAGCAGCTTTCTCCATATCAGCAATAAGGCTGTTTTGCTTTCTTATCATTTATGTATTCACTGGAGTAGCACTTTTTATTTCCTTCAAGAACTATTCCTTTGCATTCACAACCTGGCTAACTGGCGCAAAAGGCCTAGCTTTTGGCCAATCTCTGCTTTCCATGTGCCTTCTTCACTAAGCTTAATCATTTCTAGCTTCTGATTTATAGTGAGAGAGGTATGACTCTTTCTTTCACTTGAACACTTAAGAGGCCACTGTAGGATTATTGTTGTGTCTCAAGAATAGGCAGGCCTGAGGCGAGGAAGCAAGATGCCAGGGGAGGGGCAGAGTCAATGGAGCAGTCAGCATATACACAGTATTTACCAATTAAGTTCACTGTAGTACATGGGCATAGTTCGTGGCACCCCAAATTAACTACAATAGTAACAGCGAAGATCACTGATCATAGATCACCACAGTAGATAAAATATTAATGAAAAAGTTTGAAATATTGCAACAATTATCAAAATGTGACACAGAGACATGAAGTGAGCACAAGCTGTTAGAAAAATGACACCAACAGACTGACTTAATTCAGTTTCCAGAAACCTTCAATTTGTAAAGAAAAAAAGCACATTATATCTGGAGTACAATAAAACGACATATGCCTATAATTAAGTATGTTTAGGATTGTAGCCTATAAGGGAGCCAAAAATCAACACAACAAATAAAGAATATGGGCAAGCAAATAATCTAAGGGCTAGGAAATAAAATAAACTAAGCATTCAACATATGAGTATTATGGCATATGGTTAGGAATGCAGAACTAGACATAACACTTTTTTCTTTAAAAACAAGTAAACCTGTGTTGTCGCACAGAGTTGTTGTACAGAAAGTAAAAATTACGTAACTCTTGTATGAAATAGAAGTGACGACAGGTAAGAAACTAAGTTACGTACAAAGGAAAATGAGACAATGAGGCAGAGGAAGACAGCCTAATTCTTCAGGAACAGAGTGTAAAAGCTGTATTGGTAATCATGCTGGCATCATTTTACGGTTACCCCAGCAACAGGAAATGGTCCCCATGCTCTTAGAATAGAATAGAATGAATAGAATTTTTATTATAAATAAATAGAATGTTAATTTTTCTTGTCTTTGGGGGTTTAATTTAAATTAGTAGTTTCTCTTGCAAGATGATTTACATGCCATATTCTCAAAGGACAATTTCTGTCTCAATGTTTAATGATGAAAATAGGTGGCCTATTGTTTTAAATTTTCAAATAAGCATGAAATAACAGAGTAACTATACTACAACACAGTAAGAATTTACTGAGAATCTTCTAACTATAATCTAAATCAAAAGAGACCAGAATAAACAGAGGCTGATTTCTTGGCTGGCAGCCTTCATATATTTACTAAAAACATTTAAAAACTGAGATCTGATGTATTTATATAAGTGAATGAATGCCTCTACATTAATTTAGACCAGAGATTTACACAAAATGATTGCTTGAACAAAATGTTTTCCATAAAACCTAGTAAGTATTCAAGTCTTCCAACTCTTGCCCCTTAAGATAGATATATATACTGTATTTACTATTACAGGAGGAAACACTACTACTGCTAAAGAAAGAAAAGTACTCTAAAGTCATACATCAAAGTAAAAATTTTAATTTCAGAGTATGATCATCTGTAATATATAATTCAAATATACTAAATTGACAGTGTAAAAATTTTAAAAGCATTATTTCTTTCCTTTCAGAAATATCCTTTCCAGTGACAGGTTAGTAGATTGTAATACTAAAATAAAATTTAAAGTTTAGATTTCTATTACACACATTACCATCTTATATTTGTACAGAATGGAGAAATCTTTCTTCCTTGATCAGGTGCAATCCTGGTGCAAACAGTGATATTTTTAGTTAAAACACCTGACACTACGGAAGAATTATGGAACTAGAAGGTCTCTGTATAAAAAAGGCAAGTACAAATTCATCCAACTTAAATGCTTTATAATTTACCTTTAAGGGGACAAAAGCAGCAATGAATCAATCACTTTATTCAGGGAAGAATGCAGAAAGCAAACATCTTACTGGTAAATTTTACTTTTTCTTATTTAAAAGCTATTATGTTAATTTTATGAAGTATAGCAATAAATACCTATAAAATAAATATATCAGTGTATAGTACAAAAAAAAAAGGCCTTACCAACTCTTTACCAAAAATTTGGAACTATTTTAAAGAAAAAGCAAAAATTTAAGATGATATTAAAACTAGCTTCTGGGAACAGTTTCACATTATATAAACTCAGCAAAAAGCTTCATTTTATCAGATTATAATTTTTTATTTTGTAAACTAAGAGTTTGAATCCAAACTCTGAATTCTGCCAGAGCAAGGCAAATAACCTTACTAAATCTGTTTCCTCATTCGTTAAATGATAACAATACCTACACCTCATGGGACTACAGGAGAGATTAGATAGAGTCCTCTACCCTGTGCTACACACAGTAGGTGCTCCAATGAGAGTGATAACTCTCAAGTCAAAGACATCTGCATGAACTCCAATGTCAAATTCTTTAGTGTGAGTAGTCTTAGATATGAGAACATTTATAAATTTTGCTTCAGATTGTTAACAATTTTTTTGTTCCTTTCCTGGGAAATTAAATTGGATGAGTTTATTGTTTTTATTAACAACTTATGGTTACATGGCCTTAACATCTTATGATGTATAATTTCAAGGCTATTTTCAATAAATAGGTTCAGTTAATATGCCCACAATGGGCCTGAAATTTAATCTAATAATCACATGCTTCTCAGTACTTCTTGAATCTGTACTTTAAAAAGCTATAAATTTTTGCTTCCTGTTTTCTTCATTTCCCTTCAATTTCATCTCTCTGTCTTCCAGTACTACCAGGAGAGAACTGAACAACCTTCTACCTGTAACCAGGGACATCACTTTCATGTCCTTCAATTTCTAAAGCAAATGGCCTATTTAGAAAGTTCTACTTTTTTTCTAAGAGAGAAAAAATGGGCCATTGAAAACAAAAAAAGGTTATAAAAACAACTTTTCAAAAAAATAAACTTGAGATACTCAATTTAGTTAGGCAAATTACATTATTATGTAAAGCTGCCTAAATAGGCACAAGTAAAAATTAGGGTGTAATGTGGTTCTTTCTAGTTCTAGACCATAGCTATCCAAAAGAACTTTCTGTGATCACAGGAATGTTTCATATCTGTAAGTCCTAAGAAGGCAGTTACCTGCCAAATACGCCTACTGAATAGTGACACTAAGGAACTTAATTTTAAATTTTATTTAATTTTACTAAATTTAAACAGTCACATATATTATATTTACCATAATAGACAGCACTGCACTAAACTCCTTTCCTGCCTTTTTTCTTTACATCTGGAACTTTATCCAGATGCTCTTACTGAACAAGGAACCCCTTCTCTATTATCTCTAAGATTAAATAGCTTGACAGAGTTATGATATCAAAAGAAAAAACTACTGAAAAAGAATTTTAAAAGCTAGCTTTAAAATGTGCTTTTTTGATGAAGAGTACAGCAATCAATTTTTTAGACTTTCTAATCATAGTTTACTAAAAATTAAAATTAAAAAAATAACACACATATCTAGTGCATGAAATTGAAACCTTAACAATATATACTTTCCCCTGAACTCTTTGCCAGGTACATGATCAGCCCCAGGATTAGATAATGGCATAATTAAACACAAGTATAGCACAAACCATGGTACAACCAAGGCGAATTACCGTAACAAAATTCATTCTACACCTATGTATTCACAGTGATAACACAGAAATCAGTGAATAGAAATATAAGTCAAATGCAATAATACAGTGTGTTAGTTAATGAAGAATTGTGTGATTTCCATCTCTAGTATTATTTACCACAACACCAAAGATCAAGTTTTAGCTCAATTTCAAGAGATTTTTGGATGACTGTTGATGGTTCTTTCCAATTTAATCTATGCATATACATTATTTTAAAGTAAAATTATTTAAAAATATGACCTTAAGATCTCAGAAAAAAATGTTAAGTGTTTTAAACTTCCCCGTTCTCTGTTTCTCCTCCCTCCCTCCCTCTCCTTCCCTCTCCCCTTCCCTCTCTCCCTCCCTCCCTCCCTCCCCCTCTCCCTCTCTCTCTCTCTCTCCCCTTCCTCACTTTCCCAACATATAAACACAGTCTACTTTTAAAGTACAAATGTAGGCGTTAAGAAGAAAAACAACTACAATGCTTGTCCCTTAGGAATGAAATAATGGCCTCTCTCTGAGACTGGTATTAATGTCATTACCACCAACCAATTCTTCCTTTCTTTTGCCTATCAACTTGGCTTTGAGCCCTTGAAGGGGGGGGCGGGGGTAGGAGGGTGGAACATGTAAAACAACCTCAGTATTCAAAGATAGGATTCAAAAGAATTTAAGTTATGTGAATACAAGTTATGTGCTTAACTACATACCAGTTTCTGAATGACTGCTGATTTAATTTTCTTATTTGGAATTTGAGTAAACATAATGAAACTTACTATTCTGAGCCAGGGCTTGAAGCAGACAATCCAAGCATCCTTCTAAACTGTCTTCAGTCCTGTCAACAGCTGTTATCTTCAGCTTCTTTAAGGTATCACTGAGATCATCTGCTTAAAGAACAAAAATCAGAAATCTCATCAATCTTATGAACATCAAATGTTACATGATAAAAGGATACGCAGTTGCCGCTAACCTGCAAAAGGTTTCCATTATTGTGAATTAACCTTCGCATACATTCCAAAATGGCATTAGATTGCACTATTACAAAAATATTAAGTAAAACTTTGTCCATTTAACTCAGGCACAAAATATCCACTCTATATGTGTAAGATACCAGTAATATTCCACAGATTATCAGAGAATATATTTTTCCAATATTTTTATACCTTACTGAGTTTGTTCAGGAAACCAGGTATGGTTAAGAAATATTAAATGTTTGCAAAAAATTATATGGCTTCACAAATATTTTTTTATTTTTTACTTTCTCTGTTGTATTTTAAAGACAAAAAAATGCAGGTTTAGAAAAGTTTCAAAATAACATGATTTCAAATAAAGTGTGATGACTACAAAACCTACTTTAACACTTCCATATGAAAAATACTAATACTTCATATCAAAGTATTGCTTTAAGCCAAAACATGCACATTTTGGGATATAAAGCTATGTTCTCCTCCTAAATTTTATGTGAATTCCTCTAGACCACAAATTCTCAAAACCTCTTTACACTATTGAAAATTATAAAGAATCCCAAAGAGCTTTCATTTACATTATTTCTACAGATATTTAATATATTAAAAGTCAAAACTGAGACTTTAAAAAATTTAGTTCATTTAAATGTAATAATTATATGCCTATTGCATGCTAACATAATTAGCATTTTAATGAAAAATAAGTATATTTCCAAAACAAAAACAATTAGCAAGAAGAGTGGCATTGTTTTACGTTTTTACAAATCTCTGTAACATGTAGCTCAATAGAAGATAACTGGATTTTCATACCTGCTTCTATATTGTCTTTTTAATGTGTGTTTACTTGAATAGATGAAAAAAAAATTCAGCCTCACATATATATGTAGTTGGAAAATGGAGTATTTGAATAGCCTTTTCAGATAACTGTGGATATTTGCTGACACACTAAAATTTTGTAAGTGGGAGTTCTGTAAGGGTTAGTTGCCATGTGAAATCTGAAATAATATCAATGAGCATTTCCATTCTTCAGAAGAGGAATGATTTATCTGATAAACTGAGAAAGAGGAAGTAAACATGCCTAACTCAGTCCCTTTTGGGTTCCTGTTCTTTTGGAAGGGGTAAGAATTTTCTGTTCTCTCATACCTTTAGCTGTCCAGCTGCACCAGTGATGAAATCAGTAAATGGTTTTTTTAGTAAATATGTTTAATTTAGCACTAAAGTATTAGCAATCCTGTTGTGACTATACAAAGAGAGTCCTTCACTCTAGACTTTATCAATATTAAAGCAGATATTTTAAATTTTAGCAGATCACCAGTGTTCTGAACTTGAGTAAGGAACAGAAGGTATTATTTTTGGACTCCTTCAAACCATGACAGTAAATCTCAACAGTGAATCTTTACCAGCCAAATTGTTTTTTGTGCAAAATATAGGTTTCTATATTTTGTATTTACTTATAAGACACTGAAATTGTTCTAATGAAAATTTCTCAGTCTCTGGCTGGTAGTAAGGCAGAAAGTAGAGGAAGAAATGAACAATTTCCATGGGAGATTTCAGCACTACGAAGTATTAATAACCAAAATACATTTTTTTCTTAAAAGAATAATGTCTTTCCTATACAACAACATATGGTCTAGCTAGTCTTGTGAAAGAAAAACATGACATCTTCAAAAGGTTAAACCAAAGTTGACTTAGGTCATTAAATATGAGTCTCCAACTTCTTAACTGCTTAATCGCTCCTAAAGCCACAATCTAACGAAGTCCCCTACAAATTTAACAAAATTAGTCTGGTAAAGGTCTTAAATGATATCTTGACAAAGCCAATGGATTTTTCTCAATCCTCTTATTTGACATCTCTGTACCAATTGTCTCTTTTTTCATTTTTGGAACACCTTCTCTTAACTTCAAAATGCCAGTCTCTTAACATTTGTTTTTGGCCTTCTTCCACAGATCGATCTTCTCTCTCTGCCCCTTTAACTGTTAATGTGACATTGGTTCTGCCCAGAGACCTCTTCTCTTCCTGATATATGCATGTTCTCCAGAGTATTAGGATGGTAGGTATGGTGTCTTTCTTTCCTTTCTCCAGCTGGATAGATCAATTCCTTTACCTCCCTAGCAATATAAAGAATTGCCACATGTTAGGCCTTGTTACATTTGGATAAAACCTGATTGCAACTTCTGGTTACCCTGATCAATTAGTTATCATTCCAAGGATTTCCCAAAAGTCCCCATTAAAGGCATTTAAACAGTTATACTTTCCCACTAGAACTTTCAAACAGCCTTGCCAAGCCTTTTCTTTTTTCTTATAGTCCTGTATACCACCAGGCACCACAGGCTCTTTATGCTACAATCTCTCTCTTCTATAAACCAGAAACTCAAATTATTTACTGGTCTGTAAGCACTTATTGCAATAAAGAGTTTTTAAAACACCTAAATTTTTGCGGTTATCAGTTCCCCTCTTTTAAAAATCAACCTTAAGAAAAACCAATGGGGAAAGTGAGGCTGTTTCAATATTTAAATAACTTGGCTTATTTAAAAGTACTTATCATCACCAGCATTAAAGTATATACTTGACTGTGAGCAAAAGATTGTCCCAAAGGGCCAGTCTCAACATAAGACAGTATCATGTTAAACTAGTTAAGTCTTAAAATTCTTTGAAATTTCTGGTAGCATTTTTCAGTTTATCTTCCTTATAATATTATCCAGAAATAACAGCTTTATTTCCAAGGTTATTGAGCCTAAAATATTATATTTGAAAATGTCAATTCCATCACTTTACTACATGCTAATAGGTATATGCATGCAAAGACAGATATACGTGTTTGTTATCTTTGGACAACTATACCACTATCAATAATAAAACCCATTGGAGACAAGTACATGACAAGAACGGCTAACTGAGCTTGTCAAAGTTCAAGACTTTTTTACCCCCCCTTCAAATGTCATTCAATTTTTTTCTAAATCTATAATTGCCACAACTATTTAGTAACAAAGCTTTATTTACTAGCATCATTATTCACATCAAATGTAAAATAAAAATTATTTCTGTACTAATGTGGTTTAAGTACCTAGAATGTAGCCAAGGCATGAATGGAAGAATTTCAAATATATCTCAAAATGAATGGCATTAAGTCAATTTGGGGCACCTGGCTTAGGGAGCGATAACTAATACTCTCTCCTCAATATTCTATTTTACTTATCTAAAGGGCTTAGTATCTGACAGAATGAAGCTATTTTTAAAAGCTTGTGTAATGAAGAAGAAATCATTGTTTTTGTTAGCATGTCAAGTGAAAAGTACTGTATTTTTAAAATGTAACATTTTCAGTTTTACAATATTGTAATTCAGTTTTTTATCTTTTGTTGTTGTTGTTTAACATATGTTTACACAGTTGGTCCTGAGCCAGTCTGAAATCCAAACCTTTTAACAAATTAGTCTACTGTGTCTTCCATTAAATTGTACTAGATGTGAGGGGAAAATTTTATTTTGTATTTGTTTTTTCTTTCTTTTAGTGAAATGTCTGCTAGTTGAGGAACTTAAAAACTAACAAAAGATTTAGGTCTCCTCTAGTTATTACCTCCCACCATTTTGGTTTTTTAGAGACAGGGTCTTGCTCTATCACCCAGACTAGAGTGAAGTGGCATGATCACAGCTCCCTGCAACTGCCAACTCCCACCCAGGCTCAAACAATCCCCCTGGTTGAACCTTTGGACAGAGGCATGTGCCACCACATCTGGTTAATTTTTAGATTTTTTGTAGAGGTGGGGTCTTGTTATATTGCCCAGGCTGGTCTCAAACTCCTGGCCTCAAGCAATCCTTCCACCTTGACCTCCTAAAGTTCTAGGTTTACAGGTATGAGCCACTGTGCACAGCCTCTTTTTATTGCTAGAACAAGTACACAACGACTGTTTCTGAGTTTTATTGAACTTGGCCTTTTTCTACTCATTCAGACTAGAAACCTCAGAAACATGTTCTTCCCAGATCATATCACTATTCTTAAAAAATCTTTAGTAGTTTAATATTGCCTAAAATCCAGAATACTGTACATGAAAACTGAGAGCCTCAACATTATGTCCTCATTTCCCATTACTTTCTCACATGCATCATGTGTGTCAGTCCCACTAGATTACTGTGTTTTTCTCAGGCGCACTTCCATTTTTACAATTGTGCGAATTCATTTCTTCCTCTCTAAAATGCCTTTCTATGGATTTTCCATGTATAGATTGGCTACTTATGTGGCAAAGTCAACAAATACACCATTTCTTAGGTGAAATCTTCTATTCCTGCAGTCAGATCACCCCTTCCTTTTTCAGGCGTCCATATTTTGTTTATACCTCAATTATGGCACTGATTTCACTATTTTCTATATCACTACTTACATTAAGCCAGGTTTCACCATAACCAAACAACTCAAAAACAGAGAAGATAGCATATTTTGGAGATTAACAGTGCAGTCTCTGGAGTCAATCCATTTGGGTTTAAATCCTAGCTCTGCCTTCACCTGTATTATCTTAGGCAAGCTGCTGCTGCTTTTTTTTCTTTGCTTTCTCATACATAGAATGCAGATGACAATACTACCTAACCCATCAGGTTGTGGTCCTAGCTCAGAGTAAGCAATCACTCAATGTTTGACTGTTGATATAACATTATTAACTGTCACTGTTATATTACTATAACCATCATGTTGTCTTATACACAGTAGGCATCAATAAATTACTGAATTGAATCAAATAAAACTTGTGCATCCAGTTGTGACCCATAAACACGAGAATTGTCTATTTCCAATTTTCTTTCTTCATTGTTATTTAATTCCTTTAAACACACACATAAAGTGTAATTAAAATGTATAAATGGGATAATATCTTTCCCTTTTTTGCTTGGTCTTCTTCCCTTCATCTTCATCAACCTCTCCACTCACATGTCA